CAATTATTATTCATTAAAATGCAAATGTAGATAGGCACTTTAGAGACAGTTTAAGTGGTCAAAATAAATGAAATAAAAGAACACCAGTAATTAGACATTTATAACTTACATTATAATGTATTGCCGTGATTACTGGACACACACATTGTAGAGCTCTGTGTTTGTCCTTCAGCTTTATGCTGTAGCTTCACAACAATTTTTATGTCCAGCGAATATTTAAAATATTCAGGCACCACAGCTTGTACTTAAATTTTATTGGATTTGTTTTAAAGATAATTTTTTCAATGGCAGTAAATTTTAGCTGTATGACTTGAATTAATTTTAATGAATTCTGTAGTTAAATCCTTGTACATTGTTTAAAAAGCCTACTCTGTTTCCAGGGTATAATGGGTTGGAATATTTTAGTTTACCACTTAATGAGCATATGTTTTCCAGGTTTACATAGGTTTTATACTTTCAATTCTGCACAGAAAAACCATTAAACCCTGTACACACATGTCAATCAAAAAACAAGAAAAGTGACAATGAATTTATTTTAATTTATTTTATTTCTATTTTTTGTGTGCTTGATATCAAGGGCTCATTGAAGTACATGCTCATCTTAAGGGTGATATGCAGCAACTTGTTTTGGTTTTAAAGTGCTATCAGGACCAAACATGAATTGAACAGCAGTGACTACCAGGACTTCCATGAAATGGCCGCAATTGTAATATGTTTGAGGTTAAAATTTGCAGCAGTCTAACAGTAGGTCTATGATAATAAAGAGAAATAGCTCTTGTTATGGTCACAGTATTGTTAGGAGAATGCTTCATTAAGCTGTATCTGTGTGTATGCATGTACTTTGCTAATTAATGCTCAGTTTAGCCACATGTCAACATTTAACCCTTCATTATCTCTTTAGTTAGATGTTAAAAACATCAAGTAACGTAAAAATAGTTGTGGGTCATGTTAATCTGTTCAATCACTTGAATCTACAACGAAATGAGATCCAAATATAAATTATGGTGTCCCATTTAATATTTTTACTATTACACATTTTAAAATAATTTTTTTTTAGCTATTATCGAGAACAAAATATTTTATATTTGAAAAATAATTTTGTAGGGAGTTCAAGTGACTTTTTTTCATGGTGTATAGAAGAGCTTGTTTTGATCTTTCTCCTTATGGAATGTTATTATGAAATTTAATCATGTAATATCCTTTTATAAGTAGTTTGAAATAAAATCTAGTAGGAATTAATTGATTTTTTTTTATATATTTTGGCGTACGATAGCAACAAAATAGGAGATTATTTTAATGTCATTAGAATTAATTAACATATAGTTGGCAAATATAAATTATGGTCAAAATTCTTGATGCATTCCAAATTATGTTCAAATCGCAAAGCAATGAGTGTTAGTTTATGGAGGAAGATCTCCAATATATTTTTATTTTTATTTTTTATTTTTCCATTTGTGTCAATCCCTGCAGTAAAATGTGAAAGAATCATTAGGTAAAGTCCCACAGGAGCGTTTTTGCTCTTTCCTGGAGCCAGTGGCATCAAAATTGGATACAAAGCAGACTAGATAGTCATCTGAAATTTAATGATGTGAGGACATGAAAAAGTATTGAAATATTTCATATCTTCATTCTGTGTAAGTATAGCAAAGGCAGAGAAAAAGGAAAGTTTCATTAAAATGCTCTCAGTAAATGCTGTGACAGATGATTGCCTTTTTTATTTATCCATGTTGGCCCTTCGAGTAATTGGGATGGTGATGTTAGTAAATTTTCACACTGGTGTCCCTCAGTGTTTGCCCTTCTGCCTGTTCCAAATAATAATAATAATAAAGGGTAGCAGATCTCATTTTCATATGGGAAAGTACTTTATTCATTTTCTTTAAACAAGTAGGCAAAGGGTACAGTGTGCTGTAACTGATAGAAATGGAAATTCTTTATGGAGTGGCGAGGGTGAAATAATATCAGTATGAAGGCTAGAAATAGAATCCCCCCACTGTGCAAAGAACACAGAACATGCACAGACAAAATCTCATTTCTTTCAAGTTTGCTTCCACTAGCATTGTATCAGGACCTTGCAGGTCTTGTAACATGGTGTTCACTTTAATATTACCTTTTACTCATTCACATAACTTCCTACCCTTCTGCCCTGCTCCCTGTCATTTTCTCTCTGCTAAGATGAACAGATATCTCTACAAAGAATATTTGGTAATGGTTTAAAAAAATAGACTATTTTTTGTTTCAGCATCACTTAAAGATGCTTAAACGTATCAGTAACGTTTGTACAAAAGCCTACTTGGGTCCAAGAAGCCACAGATTATATAAATAAATCTGAAGAAATCCTTCCAATGCCATTATTCATTATTATTAATGAACATGTTTCTAATACTGTTATGCCCAAAAGAGGAGAAGGAAAAAGCATATTGTCAAAAATGCGTTTGCATATGTCTGGTCACATGTATGTTAGAAAAGTATAATTTCTGTCAAGAGGGCCTAGCTATCTGTAAATATGTTACCTGATCCAGTATGTTACTGAACAGAAGGTGAAAATTCTAGACATTATAATCTAAGTCTACATGTATTTAAGGGATCTACACAGAAAATACAGAATGTAAAAATGTATTTTCATGGTATTATTGGTATTAATAATTCCTGGTATTATTGGTACAAGTGTTGTGATCTAATGAAGTAATGTAATGAATACACTGGACAGGGAATCATATGTAGTCAAAGTACATTTGTTAAACATTGTTTTTACCTCATCATCTTCTGAGTATTAGAATAGGAAACTAAGATACTTATTCTAATATTCAGGTTTGTGTTTGCAAGTTGAGGGATTTGTGTTCTTGGCAATTAATTTCAGGTGTCTGTATGTTTGCTTCATACAATCTGTTGCGGATTCTTTTGTAAATGACACCAAATGTCAGCCTTTTACTGAATACGTGTTTCTTCTGAATTCTATTTGTGACACCACTATTTACTAGTGGAAGGTTCAGAACTACATTTTCTTTTTGAAAATTTAAAGCTTAGTTATTGGGTGAGTGGTTGGGAAGAACATCTACACCAACTGTCAGGTACATTAAATCATTGGAGTTGCATAAGACATGAGGGTTACATTTATGAGTCACAGGAATGCAAGTCTCTGCTTTTGTTAGGGATAATTTTCTTTAAATAATGCTCTCATGTGAGTCTTAATAGAATTTATTGACCTTATGGCTGAAATCTAAAACATTTCTGCTTTGACCTTAGGAGGGAACGAGAGTCTGAATTTTTAATTGTTGATATTTATTTCACACTTATCAAATTAAAAAAAAAAAAAAAAAGCCATAAACAGTTACTGAATAATGTGAACTGTTACTGAATCCTTAGATGTAAACTCACTAATTTTGAAATGTCAAGAACAGGCAACCCATCCTCTAGTGAAAACTGTTTTATATGGTAAGGGCTTGTGGGCATTTTATTATAATGTGGGTGAGAGGAGGACATTGTCAATTTGGTGGAAAAATCATTGAGAATATTTAAGTAGCCTTTATATCAAGATATTAGTAAGACTACTCTGAGGTTAATTTTCATTAAGATAAAACACACATCTCCTGTGTGTGTTTTATTGTCATTCATTGGGTAAGTATAATGAACCAGATGAACAAATGGTTCTTCAATACCTTAAAGAAAGAAGAAAAAAAAAAAAGAACTATGAGGATGCAAAGGAAAAGCCAATTGCATCTTGTTACTGCAGTTCTTTTACAAAAGTCAGAATAAAATGACAATGTTAAATATTATATGTGGAATGATTTGTGTAGTAAGATCTAGATGATGTTAAAACCTAATAACAAAAAGTTTTGACTATATGTAAATTTTCTGACATTTTTTTTTTTTTTTTAACAGCACAAACTAAAATAGAAGATCTCAAATTAGATTAGGTATAATCCTAACGCTGGATGCAAAAGCTTGAGTTTTCTCAATATAGCAAAGATGGATGCAACTAAGGAAAAAGTTGTCCTCATCATGGTCCTTCTTTTTAAGTTAACATGTTATGCTCTTCTGTGTTCAGAGAGAAAAAGAGAGAGGTTACATGAGCAATAAAGCTGAGGGTGTTCCTAAACTCTGGCAAAAGAAACGCAACTAGATCTCACCAGTAACATAGAGTAAATGGAGTAAAAGATAGTTATGAGTAAATGGAGTAAAAGATAGTACTTATAGTTATGTGGTGGTTTTTTTTTTTTTTGTTTTGTTTTTTTGTTTTTTTTTTTTTTTATGTTTAGCTGGCATATTTCTGGTAGCCAAGGGAACTTTGTCATTGTTTGAATGCAGAATCATTGTTCATTATTTGGTAGCAATGCTCCATACTTAGTATATTAAATTTATACCAATTGGTTGCCTGGCCCTGTTTATTTGTCTGCACTTTTTCTTTATTTTAATAAGCCTCTGTAAAGATTTAATCTTAATCATTTGGTGTAGTAATCACTGACAGGTAACAGACTGTTTAACTTTTCTATTTGCTAACATAGCTACAGACTGAAAATAGAAGTCTCTTTCAATGTATCTGGAAACGTATGGGCAAGGCTAAATCATGATTCAGAGAAATGTCCTCTTAAATTAGAACTTTGAGATGGATATAAGTAATGTGATCAGATGGCATAAATAGAATAAAGGGAGGAAAAAAAGTTCAAAACAGATGCCTGGCATCAGTCTTTCACATGCACAAAAAATGTGTGGAATGACCTTCCAGACATGATAAAGCTATGCAGAATTTAACATTGGGCCATTCAGGGAAATTAGCATCCAGGGTCATGTGTGGCAAAGTAAGCTTGGAAATGCAGGGAGAGCCATTAAAATAAACTTATTGTCATCTGCTCTTGTAAATATTAATACTGAATTTACTGCCTGCTGTACGTAGTTTAGATCATCACAACACACCATCCCTCTCCTTAGTGAATCATCAGAGCAACTTGTATGGGCAACTTGTTTAATTTTTACCTTTTGACCTTTTATCTGCTTATTTACAGCTTTCTTATAAATTCACTGCAAAGGGGTTGTCTGTCCAGATTTTATGACTGTAGTGGAATCATATCATTCGTGAAGTTCCTCGGCAGCAGAGAATGAATCCTGTAGCAGAAAGGTATGTTTAGCTTCTTTTATTTACAAATTTTTAGACCTGGAGGAATTCCATGTAGAATACTAGATGGTCTCTCTCGTAACAAGTTTTGGATACTTCCTACAGAAAACTTAAAACTTTTTTTTTTTTTTTTTAATCAGTAGCAGTTATTTTTTCTTAACAAAGTTTACGAATAGAGTTACAGTATTCTACATAAGGTATGTAAGTCTAGCCTTACAGGTAGACTAAGAAAGCTGACAGGATTCTGAAGAGGATAACAGTAAACTGCAGTTTGTCTAAATTAAATGTTGAGAGTTTTAGTTTTATATTTTTGTTCCAGTTATAAATATGTCTGAGTAAATAAGACTGTTCCCTAGACAATAATAGCTAACTGGCTGTTGTGCACTTAGGTTATCTCAAGTCAAAAATTGATTGTGAGTCTGCACAGTTTGTCAGAAGTGAATCTGTCTCAGAGAAATTGCCTTTGACTAAAAAAGCAATCATGGCAGCAGAAGAATGTTGTTCTGCTTTTTCAGAGTCACCATCCCTGGAGGTCTTTAAAAGACATTTAGATGTTGAACTTAGAGGTTTAGTGGAGGACTGTTAGTGTTAGGTCAGAGGTTGGACTCGATGATCTTGAGGTCTCTTCCAACCTAGAAATTCTGTGATTCTGTGATTCTTTTCTTCAGCAACGTATGTGTATATGTAGTTTGAGCATAAATCATTTTCAACCAAGGTTGAAAAGATTCATTTCTAATCAGGAGATGAAAAATTATTTTCTCTAAAATAGCACGATTTTTTTTTTTTGCCACTTTATGGTCTTTCAGGACAAAGCCAAGAGTTTTTGTGGAGCCAGTGTTTTAACAGAGTCAGTAGTCTTCCTAAGGTAACACTTTTTAATGACTGATATTTCAGTAAGCAAAAACCAGTTCAAGTCATTTTTATGTACTCAGTTTAATTCATTTGGTTTTCTACCATACATGGCAGATCTAGCCTCATGATAACTTGGACACTTTATTTTCATAATCAGAGGGTTATAAGCAGTTAAAATTACTCTAAGTTTATTGGGTTTCATATAAGAATTATTGGACAAAATCCTATGAAAATTATAAAAATGATGGCAAAAAAAGTCTCATGGAAGACAGATATGGCAGAATTTTCTGAAAACTACTAAAAAAAATCCTATCAAGCATCTTTAAAACTGTTATTATACAAGTGTAAAAAATCTGCAATGCATATGATAGTGTAGTTGTTGCATTATTGACAGTTGGTTGTCCTAACAGACAGATGTGTTGTCATTCAAAATTTATACCAGTAAAACCTGTAAATTATTCCAAGCACTAAGATACTTTTTTATTTTCCTACATAAATCAAACTTTCTCCATACTGCTATGAATATTCTAAAACCCTTTTTTTTTTTTCCATTATTATTTTTTATTTTGGAAATAAGCAATAAAAACTCCAAATAAAATGTTTATGATAATGATGGTATGTTAGCAATGGAAGATGAAATGAAACCAGAATGTTCAAGTATCATGAGAAAAGGGAGGGAGTAGTAGTCTTTTTGATTGCTATATTGTATAAAAATAATTGGTTCATTATCATAATTACACGTTCTTTTTCATGATAGCAAGGTCGAACTAAATAATGTAGAGGGATGTCAGTTTACAGATTCTGGCAGGTATTAATTGAGGAAATGAGAGTTTGGTGGTGCTGAAAAGAGACAGGTGAACAGCAAACCCAGAGGACCTTCCCTGTATTTCATATTCTTTACCATCTGTGATGAGACTTCCTAATTCAGCCATGGACTGGTAAAGGACAGAAGGCTGCATCTACTTCTGCTTTTCCATTTCATTTCAATATAGTAGTACAATGGAGCACATATATTTAAATTTTATATTAAAATTTTAGCTTTTTTAACAGAAACATTATTCTCTGAGATCAAGCTCATGTGAGTGTTTACATTTTGAAATACCGAATGCTGCATTATGCATTCTAACAAGTATTCTAATAAATTTTCCTTAATGAAAGTCATTAGTGATTTAAGCAAAAGAGTTATGGCTGTTTCTCCCCTTTATTCCAGAAATCTTTAATGCTAAGAGCAATAATATATTTTGACCTGTTGAGTAGTAAAAAATAAATATTTAAAAAGGTTTAACTTCCTCACAGTAAAACAGGAGAGTATAAAATGAACTTCTAAACTTCTAAACCCAATAGATGCTTAACCTGACTGAAGTAATAAATGTTTAAAAGCATTTTGATTATTCCATACTAATAGAGAAAATAAAATGTTAAATGTGTTGAAAGAACTATGTTCAATTATAAGTGTTGTTATTTTATGCAGTCTCATGTAGTGTAACAGAATATGAAGTATAAAGCCAACATTTTACGATATGAATAAATATGAGAATTTTTTGTTTGGTTTCTGTTGCTGTTAGAAAATATTTCCTCCTAAGTTCTCCAACTACTCATTTTGCTTTATCTTATTAAAATTTACACATGCTAGGTAAATTTATTGGATATAGGTATAAAATGACTGTAAGGTTACAAATTTGAGCATTCAGTGTGTGTGTCAAATTACAGAAGCCATGAATTTTTCTTCACAATAGTTGGCTGAACTGTTTTATCTAAAGCTTCATATTTATATGTCAGCTTGATGGACGTATGGAACTTGAAAACATCATCCGAACATTTGGCAAATGTAAATGCAAGTTTAAAAAATCTCAGAATGGAAACCAGTTTTGGCTAACAAGATGAAGTTCTGGATTATTTACTGACTCTCTGTCTTCTACTAATATCTCAGAGTGAAGACAGTGCAGTGAGAGAGCACCATGGCTGGTGTAGGGTGCCATGGGTATCTTGTACCACTTCCAAACTGAACGACAGTCTTATCCCTGAAAAGATGAAGCAGTGTTTACTGGAGGAGACCTTGTTTTGATAAAATAAACTGGACCTGTTTTACAGTGATTGTAGCACATACAGTTTTCCTGTAATATAAGATTCATTTTTTTCCCTTGTGTTGCAGAGCGCAATGTCTTGAATTGAGTGTGAACAGTACCACATTTATGAAACTGTTCATGTGGTTATATTAAATATTTGGTCTTTATATTAAATATTTGGTCTTTGTCACTGAATTTTTGTTGTAGTTTTTATCCTCTGGGTAGTGGTGTAATAAAAAATAAAGAAAAATATATATTTTTTCAGACCACCCATACAAAAGTTTAAAAATGACTGACATAATAGCTGGATATTTCTGTTAATACAGAATGTGTCAGTGCTTAGTTAAAATTTTGTCACTTACTTAAACAGATTTACATTCTGAATTGTCAAAAATACAGCATTTGGGTTCTGGTTGGTAATTAACCCCTACCACCTCCTCTACCTTCTCCCATCTTTGGGCAGGAGAGGTTTTCTAGAGGAGTGGTCTGGTCTGTCTTTTGTCATCTTTAATTGCATTTAATTATATGTCCTGTTATGTACATGTGTGTTTATATGTGTGTAGCCACTGCAGTGGTTTTGGCTCCAGTTTTCAGTTCAGGAAGATGGCATTACAGAATTATACCTACACAGCTGCCATAACTAGCTGGGTTGGTTTTACTTTGTTTGTAGGAGTTTCTCAGAAAGTTTGTAGGAGTTCTCAGAAAGGAGAGAAGAGGAAATAGGATTTGGGGGATTTGTTGTTAAATTACTTTATTTTGCTTTTTCCCAGTTTGTCTAATTTATTCCCTGTGAGCCTATGGCACTTGGTGTTGCTCTTGCTCAGAATGGCATGACTTTTGGCAACTGGCTACATCACTTTTAACTTCAGATCTCTGAAGTGAGTAGTATCTCTATTTGTTACCTGCCAAGCAGCTAACACTGCTCTCCATGTTCTCAGTGAAGAAGAGTATCCGTTAATCAGTGTAATCTGTTACTGGCCTTCTCCCATCGGTCCTGTGCCTTCACCCTGCTGGTTTTTACTACCACTTTACACCTGCCTTTCAGGCTTCTGGACCTGCGAGCCAGCACCATGGGAACCGGGAGCCCCCTCAGCTATCTACACATCGTATTATTTTTCACTAGCTGTGAGGAAGAAATATATAGTGATACAGTGACATCTTGATGAGATGCATTTAATGGATGGCCAAGCTGTCAGATATTTGAAAGAGATGTAGGAGGAATGTTTCTTGCCAGTCTGAATAAGTATTAGGAAACTGGGATTGGCAGTAAGTGTTGGGTTTCTGAGCTTCTCGGGGTGGCAGCTGCTGGCCTTCAAGAACTCTACAACCTGAAATTAAATTGTGGTATGGTTGTGCTTGTAAAAATGTCAATATTTTCCCATTGTGTTGGTGACAAATTTTAGTTCTTCTTGTAAAATGTTCCCTATTTAACCACTGGCACATGTCTGTTTATAGGAAAGAAATATTTAATATTTCAGAAAGAAAGGAAAAAATATTTCTCCAACAGCTGGAAGGAATAGACAGTTGTGTCCAAACACTTTGGTATTGCTAATTCAGTTATTGAAATAAGATGACAAGTCAGATTAAAACTTAAAAAAGCTGTGTGATAATTTCATTTTCTTTTTATTGGTGTGACATGTCTGTGTTATGGAGCTCCACTGAATCTTTACTCTGTGTATATTTTCTTGGAGGAAGGGAACACACTGAGCTGAGTCACATTTCCTCCGTCCTCAAAATCCTTCACAAGCAATGCAATTAAACAGCTCGGAAAAAGGGGGATGGTAGTAAAAACTGTTTTAGGAAGCTGTTCCAAAAGCTTCAAAAGATGTTTCTTAGGCATTTAGTGTGGTGACATAAAAAGGTCACACAGAAAACTCAAAGTATTATTAAATGTGTACAGATATTGTGATATATGTGCTAATCACATGCCACTCTTTAAACATGTAAGAACTTCCCCTGTATACATGGCCTACTTGGAGTAGGAGGGGAACTTTTAGGATAAATCCTGTAAGATGATAGCTAATACCTGAAATTTGGCACCAAAACCTTTACAGCCCATTAATCCAAGCTGCAATATCCTTCTGA